AACCATGATTATTGGATCTTTCGTGCCAGAAGTGAAGGCGCGTGACCTTTGGTTTCAACAACCAGCAAGCGAGACTATTCATTTATTGAAAGAAACTTTTGCTGAGCGCATTATCTCGCATCGTAGGCCTGAGGTATGACTTCCAAGACCGGGCGATATCAATTCTAAGGCATAAATAAAACTAAATTTTGTGGCAAAAAATTGAATTATATGCGTTTTGTTTCTTCTTGAAAACCACATGTCTGAACAATGTGTTATCCCTGCATATAAATATATAGATATTGCTTATGTACTTTTAGTGGTTCAATACTAAAAACACTAACGAACTTTATTACAATTGTAATGAGGAAATTCATTTGAAGCTATTTTTACATAGAACTTTGGCATACCAGTAGTTCTCCGTTTAATTTTATGTTTTTTTATTTTTTTTTTCTATTTTTTCAATTTTTTTTTATTTATACGACGTACGTCTTCGCTTGTTTTTTGTGCCGCTTTTTTAATCGTCATTTACTCGTTTAATTAAAATGTTTTATGTAAAATGTTAGATGTTCTTCTATGCTCTTTATTTATACTTATGAGCACAAATGTACATATTTACAATTAAAATTACAAAAAAAATTGATTCTTTCAGGAATTGTTTATATTAAACCATTATTATTTCTTACCTGCAAGGCTGCTCATTAGTAGTAATAATTCAAATGGTGGATTTTAATTTTGTAATTACATGAATCTACATCACAATAAAATTTTGCTTTAACTACATAACTATTCTTTAATTTTTTCTTGTTTTTTGAGTAATTTGATGTTCATAGACGTTTTTTAATGGACTAAACGAAATGAAATGCTTTTCGATTGAAAACACTCGTACTTAATTGTGAAGTGAAATCATATTCGGTTAATTTGAAATTTAGTTTGGAGAAGAAAACGAATTTGTTACTAGTACGAGTATATACGGTTTATTATGTTTATTTAGCATAATATTTTTCAAAATTAAGTTTTTAACTTTTTTTTTTAATTTTTCCCAAATCTCAAAAATAAACTTAAGAGGAGATTACAAAAGTTCCGTAAGTTAATCAGAAAAAAAAATTTTATTTTTGTATTTATACGTAAATTTTGTCCTTTATTACAGTATATTTTTAATATTTTTCAAATAATGATTCTGATTTTTTCCAAAAAAAAAGACCATTTAAAATGCTAACCGAAGCGATTTCATCTTGACAATAACAAGACAAACAGTAGTTAACTGTATTTTTGACAGAAACATTAAATTCGAAATTTGGTGACATAATTCTTCAAAAGCATTCGCTAACCTAAGCTGTGGAAATGTCTTGAATCGGTTTTGTGATCTGTTTGATGAAATCGGACTATTTCTCATGGAACAACACTTGGATGTGGAATTCAGTGTAATATCGACACATACATGGAAAGAAAAACTGTACTTTTTGGCCCATATTACGAAACATCTGAACGAGTTACACAACGAAGGAATAAATTCAATTGGGACTTGGCAAAAGATATTCAAGAATTCAAGTTAAAATTGGTCGCATTTAAAAACCAAATTAATGATAATGATTTTACTTTCTTCCCAGTGTTGGACACAAATTAATATAATAAAGAATTTAGGTTACGTTAGGAACATTTTCATTCAATTCATTGATTTTTTGATTAAAGCATTCGATTTACGATTTGAAGATTTCCACAAGTTTCAGTTGGCATGCAAATGTCACAAAAACCCATGCGTTTGTGCCCCAAAAGAAATTCAAACATTGTCAGATCTTTTCGGAACAAAGAATACTCATTTGGAATTCGATATTTCGTTATTTCAATGTAATTTCTTGGCACTCAAAAACATTGTATCAAAGTTTTTAGGCATGTTTGGCTCCTCATACGTTCGTGTAGCATCATTCTCAAGTCAAGTCAAGTCAAATCAATTTTCGGTTAATTTAAAAATGTCATACGTCGCATTACCAATTAAAAATAAATGCAAAAAAGGAATTTCGATTTCTTTTCACTGCTTTTCTTTGGTTTTGGAAAATGTGGCCATTGAATAGATCTGGGATCACGCGAAAAAAAACTGTTTGGACAGCACTGCTTTATGTTCATCTCCACATAACCAACATTGATTTCAACTCATTTCTTAAGCCTATAGATCCACTTCTGAAAAAAGTCTTCAAAATCCTGCTTTTTAAGCTTATCAAATTCAGCATTAACCGGATTAATTATCTCCTCGTTGTTATAAAAGAATTTTTCTTCTAAATTCTCTTTAATTTTTGGAAATAGCCAGAAATGACAAGGCGCTATATTAGGGAAATGTGGTGCTGGATGTATTTCATTGAGCCCAGAGATCGTAATGAAAATATTCGTTATTGCAGCAAGGGGTTGGCGAGTCATGATGAAAAAAGTAGCGCCGCAGCTCCTCTTTTTTCTTCTTTTTCCACACATTTTTGAACACTTTTGGTTAGCACGCTTCGGTGCACCATTTTACAGTTACCGTCTGATCCTTCTCCAGTGGAACAGCAGCGACGATTTTAGATTGGGTGAAGTAAACTGACATCATTACTTTTGCTGCTGATTTTTCTTGCTTAGATTTTACGGGTGGGTTTGCTTCTGTTGGGCTCCACATCATGGATTGCTGTTTGGCTTATGGATCGCACTTGTAGAATCAAGGTTCGCTACTAGTAAAGACTTTACTAAAATTGCCAGACTAACTATTTTCGAATTTATTATGGAAATATTGACCAAAATGCACTGGAGCCTCTTTTTGGCCCTCACTTAAAAATTCGTGATATCCATCCAGCAGATTTCTTTGTGTATCCCAGATGATTAATTAATACTCGCGATTAAGCTATAGCAATCGAGCTCAATGCATTAGTAATCATTTCTTGTGACAATCGTGGATCTTCGTCAGTTTTTGGTTTCACCAGAGTCATTAGTGGAAGATTTTGGTCGACCATAACGAGGTTTGTCCTCTACGGAAAAATCTCCAGTCTGTTATTTTAAGAACCACTCAGAAATAATCTTTAAAGATGGTGCAATCGTTCCATAGGCAATTTGGCATTCACTGAATATTTGTGTTGGCTGTAAATAAAGCTGAAACCAAAAGAGAATCACATGGCGAATTTCTGTTTGCGTTGGTTTTGGAATTTCGTCCGACCTAACCTCAGCTATCTTGCGTTTTCTCGTCTCTATTTCAGCCGATCATCATAACGTTTGAAAGAAGGACCGATGAAGTAATTGCAAATGATTTGGTATTTTTAGATTTAACAAAAATAAATTGATGGTCACCAATTAACCCTACTTTTTTCCGATACCGTGTTTCAAAGTATTTAAAAACTGATTCGAAAACTACTCAACCGACAGTGAAATTTTATACAAGTTTTCGAGTCACAATTCAAAAGGAATTTGAAAATATTTATTTTTTTTCACATCTTTTTAAAACAAAATGTTTTGCAAATTTCTCACAAATTTTATACTGTTAATAAAAACAAAAAATTTGGCAAAAATCAAAATATATATTTTTTTATTTTTCATTCGCCTGAATTCTAGTTTAAGATATTAACTGAACCACATTTTTCCTCATTTTGTATGATTTTGTCTTGAGTAGTATTGTCAAAGCAGATGCTGAAAGTGACGTCACAATGGCGGAGTTATGAATATTTTTCCCATGAAAATTTCAGTAATTCACCCATTCTCCCATTTTCCATTCTCTCAACGAAACCCTTGTTCCTTTTGGCGAAAAATCATTTGCCACATACAGAAACAAATAGTAATATTTGGTGCGAGGTGGAAGCTACCAGGTTGATACATAAGAACCTCCCAACCAAGTTCTCAGAGCTTCTGGCACATCACTATCTACCGCTGCACTTTATCTACTTCTAATTAAACACAATTCCTATACTGTTGGCAAAAAGCGCTGGGAGCTTTTGGGCGATTACTTCCTTCAAAACATCCAAAAGCCGTCATTATAGGTCCGAATTAAAGCCCCTACGGATGCATGAACTCAACTCAACTCACATCATTACACGGTGCAACATTATCCGGGTCATCGAATCCAGCAAGATTTTCGTGATCAGATGGTGAATGAAAACAATATTCCGTAGGGTTGATGTACTATGGTCGTATTAAAATATTAAAAAAAAACGCCAAAAATCCACTTTGAGCAAAACACGAGGTAATGCCCTCAGATTCCGATATGAGCTAAGAATGAAAATTTTGACTGTGTTATAGCCAATTCCAAGCTGATTAAATATAATCTCAAATAAAATAAAAGGAGGGTGTTTTTTTAGACGTGTGATTTTCAAGAAATCAATACATTTTTCGGAGTTCGTTTTTGACAGCTGTTGCTGGACTTATACTCAGTTCGGTTTGCCATTTCAGAATAGACAGACCGACTCCGTCGGCGACCAAAGTAGCGACGAGCTAACTTTCGCTTGAATGGTTTAACATAGGCAAAAACGTCACCTTTGTAGTGATGAGAGGTCGTTAAATCTTCAAAAACTCACCTCTATGGCAGGAGGGTGTAATTGGTTCAAGTATTTTCAAAAATCAAGCCGTCAATGGGCTCTGACTTTTTCATGCCAGAATTGACGAATGTTGATGTGGAGGACTTTTGGTTCCAACACGACGGCAGTAAAGTTAACTCTTGGCCATAACATTTAATGATATGCCTTTTATTTCTTCTTGAAAACCACATATCTAAAAACACACCCTTTATTGGTATTTTATTTTAACCAATTTTCGTAAACAACAAACATATGCTTAAATCCCCTTCTTGTTGCTCAAATCGAATTATTACTTTTTTCTTTGCCAAATTTCAAGCTGAATAAATAATATATTTACTTAAGTCGAGTTTTATTTGGCTTGTATATATATGTCAAAAATACCGCATCTACCGCTATATAAATCCCTGACTAGGAAGAGTATTGCATTCAAAAGGGCCGAAACTCTGTGTGTCGTTGGAAGTTTTGACGAATTTTTTTTTTGTATTTGCTTGAATCGCAATGAAGATATTTCAATTGTTGTTAGTTGTGACTGTAATCCCCCATAACTCCCCGGTTGAATTACCGTTGGCTAACGCAAACGATATCAATATATCGTTAGGTGATATACAAGTAAATCAATCGATTAGCGATATTACTCGTGGCCTCGTACAAGCTTATGGCAATGAACTAAGTGCCGATTATTTTTTCAATTTCGTTAGCAATCTGGTTTTGCGATTTTCAACACAATTCGGGACGGTGGTGACGAATAATATATGTGAGTGGAGCATCGAGCTGCGTTGAACTCAGTTCATAGATGCATATTAAGCGTCATACTATCTACTAATATTATTCTCTCTTAACTCTCTCTCTAACTTTTTGTTTACAGGTGCGGCTATTACAGCGGAGAATGGCATTAAAGCCAATCCTGAAGATATACCAGACGTGGAAGACATCTCCATTCAACTACGCACAGCTTGCAATATCAAAGAGTATCCGCTGAAGCAATTGCCGAACATAATTAACGATCCAGATTTTGATGTTAACAAGAGAGTAGTGATCGCTTCTGGTTGGCTTACCAATGCCAACAAGTCCGATGATATGCTCGATGGACTCGGCAAAGCTTTTAACTGTCGTGGTGATACAAATTTCCTAGGTATCGATGTCGGTCGTTACATACAAACACTCTACTCGTGGTCTTTGTTGAATACGACAAGAATTGGTGAGATACTTGCAATCGCCTTGGTGGATTTAACAAAGACTTTACCAGTGGAGAACTTCCATTTGATGGGTCACAGTTTGGGTGCACAAATCGTGGGTGAAGCAGCGCGTCAGTACAATCGTTTGACTGGTGAGAAAATACCACGTGTCACAGGTTTCGATCCAGCCGGTTCTTGCATCAATTACGATCAACGGTTGATCACGATTACGGCAAGTGATGCCAGCTATGTGGATATCATACACACCAATCCGAGTCTTGTGGGTCAAGCCATTCCGACGGGTGATGTTGATTTCTTTGTTGGTAGTGGTTTTTCCGTAAAAAATAGTTCCTTGGATTCAACCTGCTCACAACACCACCCTTTTCGGTATTATGTGGAATCTGTTTATCCGGGTAATGAATATAATTTTCCTGCGAAACGTTGTGACTCGCTGTTGCATTTATCACAAGGACGTTGTGTGGGTCCAGAAGTTCCTATGGGTTATGCACCTCCAATGTATTTGGAAGGTTTATTTATGGTAGATATTGATTCCAAGAAGTCGTTTGATAGGAACGCTTCTTCGAGTTATATAAGTCCTAATTCGGAGTGTGGCGCATGTCCGAATTGATTTTTTTTTAATTTTTTTTACAATGTCTTTACAATTTCTTTACTAGTTTTATATGCAAATACATAATATTATTTATACAGACACACATAGTTAAATACAATTCATTGTTTTCGGAATATTATTTGACTTGTTCATGAAGAGTTAACTTTTTCTTTAAATTTGCCTACGAGCATCTGCTGGCGGCAATGGTTTTGTGTTCTTAAAATTTTCGAGGCATCAGTCCTATCGGCTGTCTTTGGAACTTGTCGAAATAAAATAGTTTCGTTTGCAGCTGTACGCCATTCCTTAGTTATAGATGCGTGCTCTCCGAAACTGAAAATCTTTCGGTATTTGTTATGATTGCAGCTTTTCGACGTTCTTCACAGCCCACATGAGAGATTATGTCTTCACATGGTTGGATCTATGTGCACTTTGAACGGACCTAACCTAAGCGATTGCAAAATCGTGGTGGAGCTTTGGACACACATCGTTTACTATGTGGCTTCTCGCTTTAATGTGTATAGCGCCAAGACTTTCGTTCAGCGCTCGTAGGATATTACAGTATAGTACTGTCTCTTCTACCATAAATCCAACATCATATCGCGCTAATTTTGATGGCCGCTGTGGTGCATATCAAAAGTATAAACTCTCCTCCTTTATCATCCTTCTTCGATGATGCTGATGTTATTGATATTAGCGGTTGCCCAGCTACACAATTAAGGGGCCGCACATTCCATATGCATCCACTCTAATCATAATTCTATGGAAGGTTTGCCGCTGGGTTGCATTGTACTATTCACTGATGATTTTCCGGGCGGCACCAAGCCTAGCCTACGTACGGCTAGTTACTAACGAAGAGATAAAATTAAAAACAAACTTTACTTAACGAGTCGCTTGTTACAAAATCTTCGACCGCTCGTGATCGTACATCTGGTGAACAGATGTTGCAGTAAGACTTCAGTGAACGCTCAAACAGAGTAGATCAAAGTTGATCTATTAAAGTTCACTTCAAGTGAAGACTAAAGGAAAAAGGCGGTCGCGGTAGTCGAGTGGTTAGCATTGCGTACTGCCATTCGGAAGGCTCTGGTTTGAATCCCCGTGCGACCAACATCCAAAAGTCATAGAAAAATTAATTTGAATAAAAAATTAGGCTAATTGCGGTGGACCCTCGGCAGGAATGTCAAGCCCTCCGAGTGTATTTCTGACTTCAAATAAATCTCCTCGGCTCGGCTTAGTCTAAACTGTAGGTCCCTCCATTTGTTGGAAAAACATCAAGACGCAAAACCAAAAATTGGTGGAGGAGCTCGGCGGAAAATCGCTTCAGCGGTTACAAAGCGCTAATTTTATTTTTTTATTTATTTATTTAAAGGAAAAAGCTTTAAGCTCGATGTACATATACGAGTATTCCTAGCACCCAAATGGCAGAGTTAACTAAAGATCCTTCGTTCAACCCTTTCGAGCAACGAAAAAGCAACAATAACATCAGTTCAACTCTAACAGTCTTGGCTTCAATACTTTTCGAACGATTAGTGAACTTGACCATGAACATGAAAATTAAAATTTATGCCGACAATGCATGATTGTAAAATCCGACTCAAACGCAAATTAGTTAACTCAACTCATTAGCAATTACCTTAGGTCATACATTTCCGAACTGTTTTTTAAAATAAAAGAAAAAAAGGAGATTTTCTGGGCAACACCGGAGCAGCTCATAAAAAAGCTCATTTAATTTCATATTTTCTAGGAATCTATTTTGAAAAACTATTAGTTAGAATAATAATAACAATTTTAAGTGCGTTTTAGGATAAGAAAGCTCGTTAATATTAATACGTATATAATTTTACAACAAACGTTATCAGCCGCTACACTTTTATTACACAAAGCGCACAAAAAGGCAAAAAAGGAATTACGCTCAGTAATGGATTTACAATAGGGACAGTCTGCGGCAAAATTTTTATGGTGTCAAAATTTCATAAATTCAACTCGAACATCATTTGTCGAATCGAATTTTTGTAAATTATGATTTTGGTACCTTAAGTAAAAAGTTTTTGACACTCGGCAACCGCTGGAGTGATTTTTGGCCAAGCTCCTGCTCCAAATAGTGGCGACCATTTTGATTTTTCTCCAACAAATGTAGGGGCCTACAGTTTATTGTAAGCCGCCTGCAAACAGCGAAGGTATTTTTTATGTGGAACTTTTAATTTCATATCAGAAATGCACTTGGGCAGCTCGGAATTCCCTGCCGTAGGGCGACTGAAGTGAAACCAAAAATTGATTTTTTACAACTTTGATGTTGGTCAGACCAGGACTCGAACCCTGACCGAGTGTCAGCATAAAATGGTGACCACTCGTCTACCGCGGCGACCACGCCACAGGCTCATGACATGAGATAATGCGCTACCGAAAAGTTTCCTTCAAATGAATTGGTTTTTCGTTGGCTCTTCGAAATTTGGCGCCGTCTTGTTGAAACCATAAGTCGTCCGTATCAGCATCCTCTACTTATAGATCGATGATTCCCTCTGCTCATAGAGCGCAACAAACAGTGAGTATGTGAGGATTAAACGCCGGCTCAACAGTGGCTTGTTGATTATCTTCACTCAAAATCTGTAAAATATTGTATAAAGTGACTGGACTTTGGTGTGCACTGCGCACCAGTCCACTAGAGTAAACGTGGTGTGAAACCGAACCTTGTTTGCTCGAGGAACCGAGACTGTTGGGTGATAATGTTGATCGCACACAGTGCTGGATGTACGGCACGAACCGAACCATTATTTTGGTAGTCGTAATAGTCTGTGAGAAAGCAAATTGCTTGCGGTTGTGCCTAGGATTTAAGACCCACTAATTGAAATACCTAAATATGCCTTTGATGGGAGAACCCTCTTTTTATGGTGACCCCCGCACCTGGAAAGTCCGATCCCCCTTAATTGGGAAGGTGCTGCCGCTGCCCAGCTGGTTCTCATAAAATTAAAAACTAACTTCAGACTTCAGAAGTTGAATCCTTGCGAGATTTACTACAGCGGTCATATAAAGCAGCGCAAATATTTTTTTCGGATTCGTGGGGGAGAAACTCCGCGCCGAGTAATGCCATTCACTTCGGTGGATGAACGTCTCACCACAATTCCCATCAAACCGAATTTTTTAACATCACTCTGCTTTGCGCCCACGCCACGACGGCAGGGAAAGATGATTTGACCAAGAATGCGCTTTACGAGCCTCTCGAGCATTCTTATGAGCGCTTTAACTTCAGGGTGGGCAAAGAACGTATCTTTGGTACGACTGCCGGAAAATTCAGCCTCCACGATGAAACATTCCCAAATTTGATGATGTTGATCGACTTCGCCGGAGTACGAAATATGGTTGTCTGTAGCACTAGATTCCAGCAAAAGAAAATTCACCAAGCTAACTGGCTGTCTTCAGATTGAAAAAAACTGAGGAATGTCGAGCTATTGTGGAGAGAAAACAGACTGCCTACCACAACACGTGCGGGGTGGGATAGATACGGAGGGCTGAAAAGGCAGCAAGAAAGAGACCGAAATGCTTGAGTATGACGAGCTTGAGAAGCTGGCTGGCAAGGGTAATGCTCAAACATTCTCCGAAAACATACGACGGCTTACGAAAGGTTTCTAGACGGGAGTAGACTTTTGTAGGACCCAGAGGGATGATCTGGTGACAGATGCCCAGAGTATACCGGATTAAGTTTTTTATTCCATCGCTTAAGCCTTAAAATTAAGTATTACCTTTGTGCCCATTCGGGCTTAAATCCGGCCCTGATCGCGCTAATAAGCGAACAGGCGTTTCCTAATCAAAATAAATGCGATTTTCTTAATTAACAAAGTGCGCAATCTTGAAAGGTTTCTCTACTAGTGTAAACGCCCTCCAAACGATAAGAATGTACACACCCACCTACACAACAACAACTGCACATAATAGATAAGAACAAGCTCGTTACAAAGCCTACACTCAGAATATATTCACACAACAAATGGGTTTCCTTAGAAATTTTCACAATTCGTTTGAATATGGCGGTAATAAAAATTTATAAAAAAACTAAAATTTATGCGTTTCCTTATCGATATGTATCGCTAACTACATATATAAAACGTTCACACGTCCCAATGTGGTATTCAATAGAGCCTGAACTCTGGCAGGCTTCACACATTGGAAGTTTTAAGGAAACATTTTTTTTGGTTTTTGCTTTGCTACAATGAAGATCTATCAATTGTTGTTAGTTGTTATTGTAATCGCATATAGCTCGTCGGACGAATTACCGTTAGATGGCTCACACGGTACTGATTTTTCGCTGGGAGATCTATTTCAATCGGCTGGTGATATCGCAAGTGGACTCATACAGGCATTTGGCAATCAATTAAGTGCCGATTATTTTTTCAATTTCGTTGGCAATCTGGTTTTGGGATTCCCATTACAACTCGGGACGGTGGTGACGAGTACTATATGTGAGTAAAAAGCTATTTAGATTTCTTTACTTATATCGGTTTTTAGCTTAATTCCATCTGTCAAGCTCAGTGGGTCTTGTTCAAACGGTCGATTGTTAAGCGTGATGGTCTCACTCGTAGAGAGATTTGCAGTGCTAAAATGAGGAGGGTTCGAATCCGAAGACAGATCCAGCTTGCAAAATTTTTTTTCCAATTGCCATTGCTCCGAGGAAGGTAATGCCTCTCACTCCGTGCATATTTTGGAGATAAGCTTACTATAAACAAAGGTGCTTTGCCGGTATGGAAATCTTTGTTGAAGACCGAAAATCAAATTCTTTGAAGACCTTAAGTAAGGGGTCTCTCAATGTTCAAGATGCAGCAGATAATAGCTTTACGTAGCCTTTCAGCAAACATTGCTACGAAACTCCAATCAGGCTCGAAGTTTCTCGATTCAATTCCTCAATTTTTCGAAAAACCACCCAGGACACGTCGTGATTCGGAAGAGGTGGACCACAATACTTGTGTTTTCTGTTTTGAAACAACTTTCTTAAGAAAAAACCCCAGAGAGGTCTACAGCCATCTTAACTGACGGCTCAAATGTCAAAACTTGACGGCAGCGTGGGTTGTGGCTCACTCTCAAGCACTTGCAATCGATAAGAGCAAGATATTTCCCGATTTCTGTAGTGTCGTTCAAGCTGCACTAACGGAAATAATGGCAGCCGCTTCATGGCTACTCAGCTCTGCTATAGTAACTCTATGTATTAATACATATCCTGACAACGAAGCTGCTAGCAAGTCTCTCCATTGTAATTGTACCACCTCAAAGGAGGAACTAAGAGGTTGGAAAATCTTAAACAAACTTTCAACTGTATGCAAAACCTCTATGGCTTGGGTCCCTGGACATAGTGACATCCCCGGATGTTAGGAGGCTGACTAGCTAGCAAAAAAGGTATAATTTTAACCGCGGTTAACTCTATACACAATACGGGCATATCTTTTTCCTCTGAAAAATACTCATAAGATTGTCCATCACCAGCAGAATAGCCGAGGACGGAGGGAAGTCACATGCCAGACAAATCTGATCATTGGTCGAAGGAAAAAGAAGTAAGTTTCCAGTTCTTCCAAACGGGACCTCCACGATCATTACAACCAGCATGATAACCCGATAGAATTTGTTGCGGACCCATGTTAGAATGAGAATGAGGTAGAATGTGTTACTTCTGTTGCGGTTGCAGAGTCATAGATGTGAAGCAGTCTGTCATTCAAGGCAAGGCAATGATCGTCCGGTGATTCCAATCTAGGTAGGTGAGAGTAATCTCTTTCATGGGCTCTCACATGAATCACAATGGGCCAGCAGGCTTAAGTGAGCTATAAGAACTATATGTAGCTCAGTAGCTTGCGGTGTTGGTGGCTTTCTCGGAACTACAAATAAAGGACTACGAGTATTCTTCGAATATACGCTTCGTCCTTCGTTTCTATCTTCGATTAGCACTAAAAGAAAACAAAGCTCGTGTGTCTCCCGATATAATTATGGGGGACAGCAGATTTTGGAACCCAGTTTCCCTAAGATTGCATATAAAAAGGCTAATGTCGAGAAGACCTAAATGCGTTTTATTGTTATGTGGTTCGAGCGCAATCAAAAGCTCTGGGTCTCTTTGACCAGGTTCCACGTTAAATGCCCATTCACCTAACTTAAACTCTTACTATTACTTTTATACCAAACAAATCAAAGGTCCAGAAGAGCAAGATAAAGTTCATCCTCGACCTCTTTCTCTCTCTCTCTCTTTCTCTTTCTCTTCTTCTCTCTTTACAGGCTCAGCAGTTTTAGCGGAAGATGGCATTAAACCCAATCCGGAAGATATACCAGACGTGGAAGACATCTCCATACAACTACGCACAGCTTGCAGTATCAAAGAGTATCCGCTGAAGCAATTGCCGAACATAATCAACGATCCAGATTTTGATATTAACAAGAGAGTAGTGATCGCTTCCTCTGGTTGGCTTACCAATGCCAACAAGTCCGATGATGTGCTCGAAGCACTCGGCAAGGCTTTTAATTGTCGTGGCGATACAAATTTCCTAGGTATCGATGTCGGTCGTTACATACAAACACTCTACACATGGTCTTCGTTGAATACGAAAAGAATTGGTGAGATACTTGCAATCGCCTTGGTGGATTTAACAAAGACTGTACCAGTGGAAAACTTCCATTTGATGGGTCACAGTTTGGGTGCACAAATCGTGGGTGAAACAGCGCGTCAGTACAATCGTTTGACTGGTGAGAAAATACCACGTGCCACGGGTTTCGATCCAGCCGGTCCGTGTTTCAATTATGGTCAACGCTTGACCACGCTTTCGGCAAGTGATGCGGATTATGTGGATATCATACACACCAATCCGGGTGTTGCGGGTCAAGCCAATCCGACGGGTGATGCTGATTTCTTTGTTGGTGGTCGTTTTCCCGTCCAAAATGGTTGCCTCGATCCAGCTTGCTCACATCAACGTTCCTGGCAGTATTACGTGGAATCTGTTTATCCGGGTAATGAATATGATTTTCCTGCGAAACGTTGTGATTCGTTGTTGCATTTATCACAAGGACGTTGTGTGGGCCCAGAATTTCCTATGGGATATGCAACGCCCATGTATTTGGAGGGTTTATTTGTTGTGGAGGTTAATGCTAGGGAGCCGTATGGAAAGAACGCTTCCGCGAGTTACACTAGTCCTGATTCGGAGTGTGGCGCGTGTCTAAATTGATTTTTTCATTTTTCTCCACTTACAATATTATCGCATACATATCTATAAACGCGTTTTATTTATTATTTGTATATACGATTATAACCTTTATATAGTATTACTTATCCAGACCCATATTATAAAATGTTACTGCATTGTTTTTGAGATTTTTATTGCCGGATTCGGCGGAGGTTAGTCAAGCTTCGTCTCTACTCTTTAAATAGACTTAAGGAGTGCTTTCAGCAACCACTAGTCCACCTCTCCCAAAAAGAAATTTGTAAACGTCATCAGTTTGCAGAATGCCAAGTCCGGAATCTTGACTTTTTAAGCTACGAAAACGAAACTGTCCAAAGATCTACCAACGTGTTTTCTGACCTCTCGTGGCTTACTTGAAAAAATTTGAAAAGTTTGGCACGTTAATGACTTAAACCAATAAAATAGAGCTAGACCTGGATCACCAAATGGTTATACAAAAATATTGAGCAACCCTGCTTAAGAGACCACAGTTCAATAAGCAAGCTTAAGTACTTTAGTTTGTTCTCGTATGTGCTTAAGCCAAGGAAATTCCAAGCTGGAATAAACAACGAGCCTCAACATACCAGCACAATGACAACAGTGTTTAATTTTGAAATCGACACTGCGACTTTCTACTTTGAGGATCTGAGCCGAAAGACCCAAAAAATGGCCGAATATGGCTTGAGGCGCAATACGGATACAAAAGTATATTTGCGCTTCGCCAAAATACGCGCCTGAAACCTCTAGGGTCAGATGAAATAAAACAATATCTTTCGCTTTGCGGTTTCGGACAACACACAGGGTACGCAGACCAAATGAGGAGGCGACACTGGAACTACAATACCTCATTATCGAAGGAGCCAAAAATATGCGTAGTAAGAAAATGTGTCCAAATAGTAGACTTGCTTGCAAGCGGCTTTTATGTAAATACTTTTCGTTCCAATCCTGGTATGTTCCGTAGCTATAGAACCTATGGACATAAAAATATATTCGCAAGATTGTAAGAGTACATATCTTTGTTAGGGGAAGAGCGTACAGAGTCAATTCTCAATTCTTAGCCAAGCAGCTTTTATTCCGTAACAGAATTACAGAAAATGTCGTCATAGTCGGACGTGAACGATGATCGACTTTTGGAGTACTTTTTTTTGTAAGGGAGGACTTTACTTTTCCATTGCTTGCTTAGTCCAAAGTATCAACAGTGCCGAAAGATCCAAAACACGAATGTGCTGACTCTTTGTCTAATAAAAGAGATTTTTCGTTTTGTCCTCGTTCACTGCCCGACCCCTTCGCTTCGCTTCAATCAGTTCGTTAACGCTGGACTTTCTTGTTTGACACAATACGCTCAAAGGGACCACACATGCGATATCGGAGAGGCCTCTCCGAGGAAAATGGAGTCCTCCTTTTTATAGATTGAGCTGATTGAATTTTGAATGAGCATATACATAGCGAGCTCTACGCCACCATTAGTCCATGCCACTTTGTTCTTCTGTTTTCAATCTGTAATTCGGATATCCTCATATGAGGGTTATGGAACGTCTAGTAGTAGTTGATGTTGTTGTGGTAGCGGTTCTCCAAGCCTAGCTTAAGAACAGGCAAGTTAGTCTGAGTTATCGAGGTCAGCAAACGGGAGGTCCAAGAAACGAGCTGTTTAAACGGGTGGAGCCCAGACGGAGAGGGGGGTTAGATGAGAGTAATCAAAGAGATGGCTGCGGGTACTCGTTGCATGCGGGACATATGTTAGGCATATCGCAGTCAAGTCCGGATATATATGAGTTTAACTTGCTACAAAGTCCAGATTTAAGTTGCGCTAGTATTTTGACTCCGAGGACGCCATTTACAGAATGAGAGAGAGAGTTCTCGAAGGTGTTAACTGACTCGTGGTGAAGAGCGTTCAGTGCTTGTCTGTACGCCGTCCTGTCCAGCGGTTTTTGTAAGTAATCTCTTTCTGATGCGCCTGGCTGGTAGTTTGGTTAGTTTGTCATAGTCGCTTAGTGGGCATTAGGCAATAGATTATCTCTTTGGTTCATTCATGGGCAAAACAATTCAGAATCGCCAAAAATTTGATATATCTTAAATATGTATAAATAAAATATATATAATTATAACACAAATTATCGAAAATGTTATGAGATTTTTACTTACTTAAAATTAACCGTTATAATAATGCAACAACAATTGTTGTAATCAACACAGCGGAACAAATGATGTTCACTCATTGATGCAATCGTCGGCCGACTTTTCTTGTGGATTTAATGTGGATGCAGCCGAGCGGTGCAACGGATGAATTTCAATTATTTTATGTACAAACGATTTGAAGAGTGAGTATTAAAATTATGTTTAATTACCAATCATTATTACGTGACGAGTAAAATTTAGCAAAAAAATTAAGAAAAGTGCGTGGTCTTAGTTAGGGTGTCGTTAGTTTAGAGTGTTTCGCGGCTCTCTGAAGTTGCGGAACTCCTTAAAAATCAAATCATTCTTGTATGTTCGGTACAACGAGACCAAATAGATATATTTTTAAAATATTTTAATGCCAATTTCCGTTTTAATTTTAATTTTAATTTTAATTTTAATTTTAATTTTAATTTTAATTTTAATTTTAATTTTAATTTTAATTTTAATTTTAATTTTAATTTTAATTTTTGGAATTGGAATTAAATTAATTTTCCCGACCACCATAATTAATATGGAATCATGTCTTAAAGAGAGTTTAAATTTCATTTGAAAGCACTTTGCCTAAAGAAAAAATTTCTCTTTAGTTTCCCCACAGACTTTCGCCGATGCGTGTGAAGCGAGCTCATTTAGAGAGCGTACAAATATGAGTACTTGATATATGAATGAATACAAGCGATGCGGTAATATTTAATGATCGACAAGAAATATTGCTCAATTCTTGAAAGAAAGAAAAAACCGAAAACCAAAACAAATAAGACATGTAACAATTTTGCATTTTCCACTTTCCATTGATTTCAGTTTTCAGTTGTTCAGTTTTCCATTAGCCAAGTTGTCGTGCGGTGAATTAGTAAGTCAAATGTGTGGTCTTGGCTTGTCGGTTGAATCATTACCGCTGCATGTACATATGTATATATTCATGTATGTTTGTTGCTTTTGTTGCCACAAAATACTCAAAACCCACTGAAAATGTTGTACAATTTTGTTTTCTTTGAGGTGTAAACAGACAGAATTGACTTGAACAATTAGTGTTGAGACAGTAAAATATACTCGCAACAAAAAAAGAAAAAACAACAACAAAAAAATTAAATAAAAAATCTCCAAAAACTAGAATACGAATTACTGCATAACTTTTCTTATTGGTTTTTGTTTTTGTATTTAATTTATTTAATTTTTTTACTATTTGCTATTTATTAACGTTTATTTTGTTGTTGGTTTTGGTTTGTAGTCATTTTTCATTTTGTTTTGCTACATCACTTTCGATTAGCCATAATGAGTAGGTGCATACAATGTATGTCTATATGCACACATGTGTGTAAGTTTGTTGCTAATATGCCGCAATTGCTTTGTTGTAGTTTCCACTGAAGCTACTTTATGAAGAAAAAAAAGAAGAAAAGCGCAACTTTACCATTTATAGCTCTGACGTCGCGCCGTTGGACTTTTCTTTGTTTCTGTTTATTTGTCTTTTGTTTTTTTTTTTTGTGGTATTTATGTTTCTCTGAATTTCTTACCTTTTTAGAAAATATACTTACACTTGTGTGTAATAAAATGTTAACAGTTATATCACTATTTGCCAACTAAACAAGTAATTTTACGCGATCCCCATGAATAACGTGATGAGTAAATGATTGAAAGTTGGGTTCAAAGCATGAGAGACTAAAGAGAAGCAGCTCGGTTGGCTGGTTGTATTTCATACTCCTCCCCAAGAAGTCATAGGCTACGCAATCACAAGGGGGAAATCTCTAAAGATTCGTCATCTTCTATGCAAGAGAAATGGTTTGTGATAACTTTGACCATAACGTCCTATACACCAACCCTCACATGCAATCAAATTTGTTGGTGCCTTCCAAATTGCTTCTGTGTTGTGAGCCCTACGGGACCAGGCATAAGAGCGTTAAATACAATGAGCCAGCTATTGAACGGCTAGTGCAAATTAGGGACTTCACATACTCTGTCGGAGAAAGGTGCTGTGAACAAGAAACTGTCTTGTCAATAGCGAAATAATAGGTTCAAAATATATGACAAGAAGCTTAGTAAGTTCTTGCTAGCAACAAATAGGTCAGACTCTGTGTTGCTAGGTTAGGTTGAGCTGGCTCATATAAACGATAATATATCGATAGTGTTGCCAGACACATTACATGCGATCAAGCTTTACTGCTCTGTTGTGTCTTTAGTGTGAAGAACATTGCTGTTCTTTTCGCCACTTAGACCATTCCAGACCATATTCAAATATTCTTTATCATAGCAGCCGAGCTTTACGATATTATAATAGAGCGACGGTCGTGCTATCATCTATCGTTTCAGCATGTTCAGCTGAAGAATTTACTGCAGTTTATCTCTTGCTGTACTATCTTGCACTGATATTGCTTCAAAGATGGTTAAAATTATCAGACTATCAAAGCTCCAACACCATCCCATTCATTTATATTTCCCATTTTCTTTCATTCATGCTTAGCGCTTTGTGAAAGATATAACGCTTTAATCGGCTAAAGCTCAAGCACTTGCAAAGGCCGTATTCTCTACAAGATCTACGATCAGCAGGTTCAACCTTGCTTAGTTAATATTATTATAGATATTTCAAGAGTGGATACCACGTTAAGGCACCCACAGGGACACCAAGGTACCTGATCCCACCAGTATACAAATGGCACCTCCTTTGTTGGAAATGTTCCAGAACCTTAAGTAATCTTCGAGGGTTCACTATTTGAGGGCAAAATTTGTAGGCTCTGAAAGATCCGGAGCAGTTCGCAGTGATACCGGCATCGATTTACTCCACTTTTCGTTACTTTCTACATCCAGAGAAGATCAAGTTATGTTTGCTTCCCTATTTAAGCGGTTGCCCATTTGACACCTTCAATAATGCACACTATCTCTGCTTGGTAGACTGAATCTTTAAGTTTGTAGCTAACTTCTTTATTATCTGCTCACATTTAGATCCATCAGTAGAGATCTGTGGAGTAGATAGCATTCATG